GCCGTGCCACAGCGCCGGCCACGACACACGTGCCCGACGGCTGCTCCCGGGGCCGGCGAGGCCGCTGCGTCCGCAGCGAGGACACGGGGAGCCTTCAGGGAAACATGTCGGGGGAGCAGGGAGCGCGTCATCTCCCACGGGGCTGGCTTGGACGCTCGCCCCGGCTGCGCTGTGCCCAGCCTTCCGCTGGGCCGGCGGCCAGCAGAGGCCTGGCCCGTCCTCGGGTCCACATTGTTCTCAGAGGGGGCTGCTTGGGCCGCCCACATCCTGCTCTGCCTCTGCCCTGCGCCCTCCCTGGCCAGCTACTGTTTTCACGCAGCTTTGTCCCCGCGGAACACCGGGACGGAAGCGGGCCCTCTGTACTCACCGACTTCCTCCAGGTCCCTGTGCCGGAGCCAGCCGGGCTGGCTGCCCGTGGCCCCTCCTGGCTCCCGCCGGGCCTGGAACGCCTGCTTCCCTGCACTCAGCGCGCACTTCTTTCCCCTTAACTGGAGGCCAGTCTGAAAGGGGCAATTAGAATATTCCCAGCTTCTTGCCTCTCCTTTATTTTCTCTCCACTGTCGCCCCCACCCCCGCAAATTGATTTTCATGCCATTTGGGCAAAGAAAAGTGCTTACTTTACAGAATGTGTTTACCACGTAGGCCCACATAGAACGTTCTAGAAAGAAGGTAGAACCAAGAAGGTGAGAGGTCAAGGTGGTGCGTGTGTGGCCTGCTCTGAGGGGAGGAGAGGGTGCGGGGTGAGAAGCCACCAAGAGTGTCTCTCCCAGAGGTGGACAGGTCTCGGCCAGGGCGCCAGGGGCCCTGCCTGGAAGGAGAGGCCGTGAGAGCTGCCCCTCCCGTGTGACTCCAGCCCATCCTGGCAGAGCCCTGTGCCTGAGACAACAGGGGAGGAAAGTGGAAAAAAAGTTCTGAATGGAGCTGAGCGTGCAGAGCAGGTGGGAGGGGCTCCGACTGAATGAGGGCCCAGGCGAAGGCCTCTGTGGCCCCCTCTGGCCTCGCCCCTGGGCCTCAGGGCTGTGCACGGGGAGACGGGGAAGGCACGGCCCCGCTGGGCTGCCACCCAGCTCGGATGCCGCAGAGGGTCCCGGTGGCGAACGGAATTTCCCGGCCCATTTCTCAGGGGCCTCCGCGTTTTCCTGTTGAGAACTGGCCCCGCTCGCACTCCCACCAGCTGAATTTGAAAGACAGACAGCAGTTCTGGGCGTCTGAGTGCCTGGGTTCTCACTGGAAACAGACACTGACCTCCAAGGGCTTGATTTTATCAGAAAGGCGCGCAGGCAGAATTTCCCCCGAGGCTCAGAAGTCTGCTGACAGATGCTCCGCAGAGGAATTAGCCCTGAGCGTTACCAGCCATGGAGAAGAAAGGGGGGGGCGGGGGAGGGAGCATGCCTACTGTGGCCACCCTGTCAGCTCCCCGCGCCTACTGTGCGTGCCTCTGTCCCGCCGTGGGGGCCGGTGCTTGGGTGCAGGGACGTGGGCACGCTCTCCGGGGCTGGCCAGTAATGGGCTCCGGAGGGCACGTCCCGCTTTCTCGCTGTGGTCACACCCCAGCACTGAAGCAATTAAAGTAATAAAATTAGGCAGCCAGGCGTCCCCATCACTCCCACTGTGTTCCTGTAACTCCCCCCTTTACAACAGATAAGACAGAAAAAAAAATGGAGAGCAATTTCAGATGAGGCAGCACAGCGTATGTAAGTGTGGTGTTATCAGCGGCCGGGCAGCTGCCTGATTCTTCTAGAAAGTGTGAGAGCCTCAGTCCACCGGCCGTGCTGCATGGCAACAATTCCGTTTCCAGGCCATGTGTTTGGGGCGGGGGTGTGGGGGGGGGCGGTGCCATCGCAGCTTCCATCCCTGTCTTCTAAGCTGTGTGTGTTATGGCCCGGGGGACCATTGTGCCACCCTCCGGCCACGTGCTTGGTCCCCGCTGCAGTTCTGCAAGGAGCCTGCTAAGAAGTCTAAGGTTTTAGAGTCAGGTGACCAAGGCTGTTTTTACTTTTTAAGAAGGTATCGCTCCCACCCTCTTCATTTGTCCTAAAGACGCAGCTGCTGGGAGGCAGGAAATGGCAAGAGCAAGCGCAGGGGAGAACAGCGGCTATTGAAGAGACGGAGGCGGAGAAAGCAGCTTGCTGTGGGAAGGCCGTCCCTCCCACACCCCGAGCCACTGTCACGGTCAGCTGCACGCAGGCACCCGGCAGGGCTCGCGGGGGTCTGTCCTGTGGAGGATCGGTTGTACCAGGGTCCCCGGGGTTACAGAGACAAGCGGGAAGAGGAAGAGGAAACAGGAGCCCGCTCAGCAGGGCTTCTCCCACGCCTTCCCGGGCTCAGTGTAACTCAGAAAAAAAGAGGAGGCTTGGAAGCTGTGGAACGAGTCAGGGCAGGCCCAAGTATGCGCCTTTGTGTCCCTGCGCCCCAGCGCCCTGCCCCCTTCCTCGGCCCGAGTCTGCCCCAACCTGCCCTAGGCGAGGAAACAGCCTGGTTTAAGAGCCCCAAGCTGCGGGGACCTTTACAGACAGCTCTGTGCTGCTTCTCACTCCAGAATGGGGACTCCTTCAGAATGGCCGCGCAGGGGTGGGACCCCAGGTGGGAAGGGCCTCAGGTGGCAGGGGGGCCGTCTCAGGGCCCAGGGGCAGGGGGGCCGTAGGCCTATTCGCCACCCCTCGGGCTTTCAGCAACTGCACAGACTCCAGCTGGGGGGTGGGGTGGGCGGTGGGATTCTCAGCCTCTCCCCCTGCCTGGTGGGCTGGCCACTGAGTGCTGGAGGCAGGAAGGGAGAGCCCGAGGCGGGGGAAGTGTGTGACACAAGCACCCAGAGTTTGGGGGACTCTGAATCCAGCCACCTAGGTGCGTTGGTGCTTCTTCATGTGTATGAAGTCCCCCCATTACGTCCATGGGCCCCCTGCATCGCATCGCCTTGGGAGGCTTATCAAGCATTCAGAGTCCTGGGTCCCCTACAACACCTACTGGATCCCAACGTTTGTAGTCTCTTGCATTAATATTTTTACTTTTTCTTTTTTAAGTACAACATGCACTCAAATACCCAAACCTTAAGACTTTGTGAATATACACCTGTAGCCACCCCCCAGATCAAGAAAGGGGACATGTCCACCACCAGAAAGGGCTCCCTCCTGTCCCAGACCAGCACGCACCTGCCCTGCACCTGTCACTGGCGCCTGTCACCTGCCCGGGCGCCTGTCACCTGCCGGGGCGCCTGCGGCTCTGATCTACATCGCGCGGAAGTGGTTGGAGACGGTCGCCTGGGTGCGAACTTCACCTGCGCTGAGCTGTGCAGGATCCTCGGAGCCTGGCGTCGCCCCGGACGGGAGATCCATCCGCACTGTTGCTCATGTGAGCGCCAGTCCTGTTCCGCGGTGGGACAGTGGCCTGCCGCAGGCTGCCCTGCAGCCGATTTGTTCGTTCTGCTCCCGATGGAACCGGGGTGGCTGCCAGGTTTTGGATGCTGTACTAAGGCTGCTAAGAACGCTCCTCCATGTGCCTTCGGCGCCCGCGCGCACTCCTTTCTGTTGCCAGTGGAGTCGTTGCTGGGGCATTGGCTGAACGCACACCGGGCTTTCGGGAGAGAATGCCAACAGGCTCCCAAACTAGTTGCGCCCGTTGTCATTCTCACCGGCGATGAAGGAAGGCGTGGTCGCTCTGCGTTCTTGTGCACCTGCGGCACTGCCGGGCGCTTTCGCGGTAGCCGCTCCGGTGCGCGCGCGGCAGCATTCTCTGTGGCTTCATCTGCGCTGCCCGACTGGCTAACGATGGTAAGGCCTTTCATGTGCGCTCTGGCCACTTCCCTTCCCTTTCTGTGGCGAGGCTGTGGTGCCTTTTTAACACCGGGCTGCGGGTCTCTCCTCATCTTTACTTGTGGGACGTCGGGCCCCCAGCAACCTCTCCTGGAGACTCAAGAGCGCTGCGCCAGGCGGCCTGTCTCCGAAGCCCTCCTTACACTGTCTGTCTTTCCCGGGGCTGCTTTTCTCAACCACCCCATCCCCCGCCCCCTGAACAGCGCGTCACTTCCTGCTTGGTGTCCTTCTGTTACTCAGGTCCTACATAGGGTGCTCTTTTCTCGCTTTGTTAGTTTAATGACATGGGGCGTAAGTGGACTTCCTGGATCAAACACGGCTGGTGGTGTCTGCTGACCCCTGGCGGGGCGAAGGGCACGTCCGAGGCCCCTCCCTGCCCTCCCAGCAGCATTTTTCTTGGCCCCACGGCCTTCCAGAGCTGCGTGGCGTGAGGGCCACGGACAAGGATGGCGCGATTCGGGACGGCGGTTGTCAGCGCCGGCACCACCACGTGGTTTCCGCGTCTCCTCCGCGGGATGCGCGCTTGTTCAGTGCCTGTGCACGGGGACGCGCATGTGCGTGCAACCTGCTTTGTTACCAGAGGGGAATCATTTCATTAACTTCCACCCTCGGCGCCAACTGTGTAAGAGTCTGCCTCCCAAGTGCAGTGGTGCCCCATCTCTCTGCACCCCACGAATCCGAGGAGGGGACGTGAAAGTCGGATGGTGTCCAGGGATCTCCGAACGCGCACCGTCCCGCGGCCCCGCTCCGGAGCCGAGCACACCGGACACGGAGGGACGCCGCCTCGCTGGCGGAGTGTGCTGGGCCGGGTTTAGACACCATCATTCAGGAAAGGGAGGCCTGCGGCTTCGGCAGAGGATCGAGAGCCAGAGGGTGACGGCCGAGGGTGCCGTTCTTCTCTGTCCTTGATAACAAAGGGAGTTGCTCTTAGCACCGTGTCCTGCTGAGAACTGCGGCTCAGAGGGCCCGTGCGCAGGAAGTAGCCTGGGAAAGGGTGCCTGCTCCGCCCCCTCTGCCCCCGCCCCCACCCCCACCCCGGCGCAGAGGCCGAGTGATGTGGCCGCGGAAGGATATTTTCAGTACCGCGCCCACGAACAAAAACGTACAGCGGTCTTGGGCGCGCGCCCTGCGGCGTCTGGCATCGCTGAGTGTGGCACTCACTCCGACCTCGTTTCTTTTCTCCACCCGCAGGCTGGCTGTGATGGAGAGAGTATCGGAAACTGCCCGTTTTCTCAGCGTCTCTTCATGATTCTCTGGCTGAAGGGCGTTATATTTAATGTGACAACGGTGGACCTGAAAAGGTAAGACAAGGTTTCTGCATTATGGAAAGAACTACTTAATGACACACGCGCGCACCAAGACGCTGGCGTCCTCGCGGGGGTGGCGATCCTCGGTCAGGACCCTGTGCCCATGCTGAGTGTGGGCTGAGCAGTCACTGCAAGAGCGAAGGAGCAGGAGCTGGGGGCGCCCCAGGGAACCTGCTGCCCAGTTACTGGTCAGCCTGTCGGAGCACCAGCCCTGGCTGGTAATTCTGAGGCAAGTTAACCTTTCCACCTCCGTGTCCAGAGAAGGGGCCACACTGTCATGGCTCGTAAGACATTCCATAAGGGCACAGTGTCCTTTGAAGCTCTCAAGGGCTCTTTCTCTCAAGTTGGGAGGACACAGCTATGTCTTGGAAATGAATCCAAACACTGGTGGCTGCTGACAAAAGCCGTCCCTGGTCCCCGCCGCAGGAAACCCGCAGACCTGCAGAACCTGGCTCCCGGAACGAACCCTCCTTTCATGACTTTCGATGGGGAGGTGAAGACGGATGTCAACAAGATCGAGGAGTTCCTGGAGGAGAAACTGGCCCCCCCCAGGTAGGCCTCACAGCCCAGCCCCACGGCCTGGCTGTCGCACTCCCCGCCTCACAGGCGGCTGTGAAGCTCTAGGCTGCGTGTGCGTCGTTTTTTGCGGCCGTGGCAGGCACTGCCTAAACGCACCCCTGCGCCACAGAAAACACGGGGCACGATTAGAAGCCTCCAGGGAAGGTGGCCCAGATTTCTTTGCTCTGAACCTGCGGTGTGGCAAGTGGGGTTTGACGGCAGGAGGTGGGGGGAGGGGTTGGTTGATGCCGTGTGGGTGGGCCACATCTTAGGCACTCGGCTGGAAGGAAGGAGTGTGTGTTGGGATGCGGTGTCTCGGCCTGGAACAGAACCTTCTAGTCCATCACCTTCACTGTAACAGGAAGGGAGGCTGGGTGAGCCTTGTGCTCAGGGTGAGAACCACCAGCCTAGACCTTTACTCCCTCAGCTGTGTGGCTCTGAGCCTTGCAGATTTAAAAAAAAAAAAGATTAGGCAAACGTTCAAGGGAAAGCCTTCGTTTTTGTACCCGCTCAGACAAAGACATGCCCTCCTGCCGTGTTATTCTAACTCAAACACCGCTCGTCTGTGACTGTCCAATTTTGAATTTTTCAAGGCACCCTAAGCTGGCGACCCAGCACCCTGAATCTAACTCTGCAGGAAACGACGTGTTCGCCAAATTCTCAGCATTTATAAAAAACACCAACAAGGATGCCAGCGAGAGTGAGTACCTCCGCCTTCCCGGCCTCCGCTTCCCCACGGCCCTCCGCGCGGGCTGCAGCGGTTTCAGGGGGGACCCTGCGGGGGTTCTGTCCCGTTTCCCGGCGGGGAGGGCCCTGGCATAGCAACAAGGAGGGCGTGCCTGCAACTTCAAAGCTGCACATGGATTTCAAGACTGAAGTGCTCCTTCTAGGGGGTCGGAAGCCCAGAAGCAATTTTTTTATGGTGACAGAATCGTCACCAGGCAGTCCCAGCCGCCCCATGAGAATCATTTAAATGTCAATGCTGCTGGGCCGCATCACGGTAGGGATTCCCTAAAGGGCTTTGAAGGAACAAATTCACCGGGTAGGGTGGGCAGCAGAGCTATTGCCTGAGGACGGTGGTGCTCGCTCACGCGGCCCCTCCCCATCCCCGTTCGCCTTTCCGGTCAGTTCATGAGAAGAACCTGCTGAAGGCCCTGAAGAAGCTGGACAGTTACCTAAACAGCCCCCTGCCCGACGAGGTCGATGCCGGCAGCGTGGAGGAGGTCACGGTTTCTGGGCGGAAGTTTCTGGACGGGGACGAGCTCACGCTGGCGGACTGCAACCTCCTGCCCAAGCTCCACATTATTAAGGTGCGCTGCTCCTTAATGGGGCTTTGTTTTATTTTGTTTTGTTTTGACGGGCAACGAACACCATCTGAAACATGCAAAGTCTGGCCTGCTTCTGTGGGAGGCGGCCCAACCCCAGGGTGCAGGAACGCGGCTGGTCTCAGGCGGCCTTAGACGTCCTCCTGGGCACCTGGCTCTTGGCCCGCCGCCCTCACCGCGCTCCCCCGGGTCTTGTCCCCGCGGCCAGAAGCAAAGCGCCGTGACCGCCCTTGAGGGAGCGCGTCCGACACTCCGGGCCTGGATGTGAGGCGCGGAATCCGCGAGGATTAAAGGGGCGCGCAGCCCACGGCTGGTGATGGTCAGGGCCGACAAAGCCCCAGCCGGGCGCGTGGCAGCTCTGTGGCTGGGTCTCCATGGGATCTGGCGTCCTGTCTCCCCAGAGAGCTGAACACGAAACGAAAGGCACGGGTCGTGTGTTACGAGGACTTAAAAGACCCCCTTGCACGGCACTTCCTCAACAAGAGAAGGCGTAAGAATTGTTCGGGGAGCTTTTTAGAAACGTACATCGCTCGACCCAGCCCCTGGCCCACCCACTGCGTCAGAGCTCCTGGGGTGAGCCTGCGACTGTGGCAGGTGGTCCCACACCGAGTCCTCAGTGATGGCTGTCGCTTGGGGTGCCCGGCCTCTGTCACTCACAGCTGTTGCTATTGTCATTGTCCCTAGTACCATACCCTTGGCCCTCAGTCGCCTCTGATGCCTCAAGAGGAAGCCCAAGTCTTGTGCTGGGGCATCTTTATTATTCAAATCCCACCCCGTCCGGAGCTAGGTCCTTGGTGTAGGAGGATGGGAGATGGGAGAGAAGATACAGGGAAATACAAGATGCATATTTAATGGGCATTTTTGAAATTTACACTGTAGGTTTGCACACCCTGGGCACTGAGGCTCCTGTGGGCCGCCGGCCACCCAGGTCACTCCACGTCGCTCCCTGCCTTTCTCTGCCTGCATTGCTGCTTCCCCCCGGCCCCACCCCCCAATCCTTTTGTTCTTTTCTTTCTTCTCTCTTCCCTGTTGTGCCCGAAGGTACCAATTTGAAATTCTATCCCTAAAGATATTGCTGATCCTGCAAGTGAATGTTTTGAAAAGACCATTATAAATAACTTTATAATATTATAACAACAATATAAATAACGCTGCCAGTGTCTTGACACCTAAAATTTAATGAAAGCATATTAACCACCCTGGCTGGTGTGGCTCAGTGGGTTGCGCGCCGGCCTGAGAACCAAAGAGTCATCAGTTCAGTTCCCAGTCAGGGCACAGGCCTGGGTTGTGGGCCAGGTTCCCAGTAGGGGGTGCGTGAGAGGCAACCACACATGGATGGTTCTCCCTCTCTTTCTCCCTTCCTTCCCCTTCACTAAAAATAAATACATAAAATCTTTAGAAAGAAAGAAAGGAAGGAAGGAAGGAAGAATATTAACCCCTGAAACCTGCTGCATTGGTGATGGTTGAGAGGGGAAATCCGGGAGCCACTTTGCAGTGAGATATTCGTGCAGTTGTGTTTTGGGTGAGTCCCTTTAGTGAATGTATTCTCATCGTGGCGGCAACTGCCACTTGTTCAGCTCCTATAAAAAGTTTTACATTTCAGTGTAAACAAAGCGTTCAGAATAAAATGAAGCAGTGCATGGCTCCGATCGAAGACCTAATAGCAAACTCTTCAAAGCCATTTAGCGCTCAAAGTAACAAACAGCTTAATAATCTTCCAGGAGGGGGCATCTCTGAAAGGAAACGAGAACCCGTGTGAAGCAATTTATGGGAGAAGATGAGAAGGTGAGGGCATCTATGATTTATTCGCCTTCCTGAAACCCAGTGAAGACAACGCGGAAAAAGCAGAGCTTTGCCTTTCGTGAAACCTGACAGGACAGACCGCCAGCTCAAAGGCTGAGCCATTCGCCCGGCGCCGCAGGGACACGGCACGCTTGTCTGATGCGTCAGCAAGGCTCAGCCGGCTCTGGAAGTCAGCACAAGGCCCTGAGAGGCCAGCCCCGGCCGGTCCACCTGAGGACCAGGGCACGGAGCGGCCACGAGAGACGCGGAGAACATCCCTGCGCAGGCCTCGTGGGGGCTGAGGTCCCTGGGGAGACAGAGTTGAAGGAGGAGCCCCACAGTGGTCCCATCTTTGCATCCTGTCGCTGTCCCCTCATCCGAAGGAACAGGGAGGGGAAGTGGCATTTTGCTTTGTGGCGGCTGAGCAGAGATGAGAAACAAGCCGTGAACCACTCAGGAGAGACCGCCAAGGGTCCACGCTTCGTTCTTAGCCATGGGGGCATCCTGCCTAGTCTGGGAGCCGCAGAGTAGAGGACGCCTAACCCGGAGCCCGACGCTGACACCCTGACCCTATCCGCACCCTGGCCCTGGGCAGGGTGGCAAGCAGTGCTCGGTGAGACTGTTGGTGGTGAATACCCAAATTGGCCGGCCAGCTGCCCCTGCTCACTCCCTTGGCCCTATTGAGTTTTCCTCACCTGAGGACATTTTTTCATTGCTTTTAGAGAGAGAGGAAGGGAAAGAGAGAAACATTGGCGCAAGAACGAAGCGTCAGTCGGTTGCCTTCCCATACTTGCTGGACCGGGAATGTGCTTGCCTGGGCCAGGAACTGAACCCACAACCTAGGCATGTACCCTGGCTGAGAACTGAATCCTCAACCTTTTGGTTCTGGGTTGACATGCCGACCAACTGAGCCAACACCAGTCAGAGCCCTTGGTCCTATTTTTAAGCAAATAGTAGGTGCAATAAATCTTCCTTCTTAAAAGATGATTAATAAGCAGAAGGAATCCAAGTGGGACCTCCCTGTGGGTGGACAGGATCAAAGCGGGAGGGGGAGGAGGATAAAGAGGAAGGAAACCAGAGGAAGAGGCAGTTGGGAACTCATATCTGAGGGAGCGTTGCTCCAGTAGCTTTAAGAACATTCCACACGGATACTTCTCTACAGCCTCCAAGAAATGAAAGCGTACATGGGTCTTTCGAGAAAAAACTCAAAGACACGACACCAGACGTCAAAAAAAAAAATATCACAAAGAAGCTGAAAATCAGGCTGGCAGAGCTGAAGAGGGAAACTTGAAGACAAATGAAATAACTGTGGAAAGAAACGTTACATTGGAAGTAACAAGACGTCAAAGACGACGTTGCAGAAATGAGTCGGTGGGGAGGGCGGGCCTGAGGAAGCGATGCGCGCGGAGGCGGCCCAGGAGGCCAGAGAGGCCCTGGCGTTCGCGGTCGGGCCCCAGAGGCCGGGCCGGCAACGAGGAGAAAGGGGGGCTCCGGGGCGATCCCTGTTCAGGAAAGAAGCCCCGGCCCTTCCGTTCCCACCACACCCCACGGTTAGAGGACCGGAGCCCCAGCACATCAACACGCTGTGACATCTTTGGTGAAGTATCGAAACCGGAGGATGAGAAAAGGACCCTTTTGGCATCCAGACAAGAACAACAACGGCAGCAGCCATACTCCTGCTGCTGCTGCTGATAAATTAAATAAGGAGCAGAGCCACCTACACAGGGAGGAACCTCAGACTGGCCTCCTGGGTCCCCGCGGCCACATTGGAAAACAGGAAGGTGGCTCCGTCTTTGCAGAGAATTAAGGGGGAGGAGCTGTGACGTCAGAATTTTATAGCTAGGTAAATTGTTTTTATCTAGACTTCTGATCTCGATAAAGCAAGCGCTCCTGAGCTGAGCCAATTTAAAAGATAAAATTGCTCTCTGATGAAATACTAAAATCATTATCAAAGTAAGAATCTAAAAACAGAGAAGCTGTGTGATGCGAAAGGATGGCTGAGAAACTAAGACCTACTTCAACCTGAAACCAGAACCGCGGCCGCCCGTCGGTGGGAGTGGCCGGCGCCGGGCAGAGCCGGGACGCAGGAGACTTGGCTGTTGTGGCAGATGAACTTGGAAGGGGCATTTGGACGGGGAGGCGGTGGGAAGAGGTGTCGTTACCCTAATTCCCCCATTTCGCACGAGCAGGAGCAGAGAGATGCCATCTGAGGTTGGTAAATCGAGAAATAGAAAATCCCTGTTATTTCAGGTTATACAGGGAACAACTGGAAAGGTTAAAACAGACCAGGAACCTTCTGGATCATCAGAAGGGAACCACACACAAATATAGGCAGAAAGAAGAACAACAAAGTATTAATTCAGAAAATATAATGCAAAATCAATTTTACATCTGTAAGAGTCACACACATTATAGATTTTCTCTGAGGTGTAAAAAAAAAAAAAAAAGATGGCAAAGCTAAATCAGGCAAATGCAAGCAAAGGCCAAGCAGAACTCTTAATATTCATATCAGTAAGGTTGAAGTCAAGTGGAAGATATTAAACAGTAGGAGGCTCCCTCAAAGTCACAGGGTCCTGTCCTGGTGCCACACCGCGTCGGTGGCTGCTGGCCTCCTGAACCGTAGGAATGAGTCCCAAACATTGTCTAATTTTCGGTTAAGGCCACATCGCTTCAGACATTCCAGAACCAGCGACATAGGAGGCAGCAAAGCGGACTGGTTCCTGTAGCCCTGGGTCCCTGTTAGGGCATGAACTGTGTCCCCTGCCAAGGCCACGTGGTGGAGTCCTAACGCGCACGGCCTCGGGCGTGACCTTCCTGGGAAACGGGCTCGCAGATGTAACTCGTGAAGACCATGTTGAGGTTACACTGGAGAAGGGTGGGCCCCAATCCAATGCGATTATAAACGGAAAACGTGGGCACAGAGACACAAATGCAGCGGAAGCACCACGTGGAGGGGGAAGTTAGCCGTCACAAGGCGGGAAGCTACCAGAGGCTAGAGAGGGGTCGGAATCAGTCCCCCGTCAAGCCTTCCGGACCCGCGAGCACCTTGATCTGGGACTTCTCTCCACCAGGGCTGTGAGAGAACAAATTTCTGTTGCTTCAGCCACCCGGCTTGGGGCACTTTGCTGAGGCAGGCCTATGGAATTGATGAGTCCTCAACAGCATACACCCTCCTTTGTAGCTCATTCCCTAACGGCACCCCTTCAGCCCAAGGAAACACACCTCATGGTTGTGTTGACCGTGATATTTACTGTTTTCCTGTCTATTTTTTATTTACTTTTTTTAGAGAGGGAAGGAGAAAGAGGGACTGGAACATCAATGTGTGGTTTCCTCTCATGCACCGCCCGCTGGGGACCTGGTCCGCAACCCAGGCATGTGCCCTGACTGGGAATCGAACCAGCGACCCTTTGCTTTGCAGCCCTGCTCCCAACCCGCTGAGCCACACCAGCCAGGGCTCCTGTCCTTACTCTTTCCTGGGGGTGGGGATGTGCGTCCATTTGGCTCCTGGATCTGTCCTGTGCACACGGCAGATGCCGTGGAACAACCGCACAGACGCAGGACGACGGAACACAGACAGGCAGGGTTTCCCGGGGTGAGGTGTGGGCTTCCCCATGATCTGAGCGCAGGCAAAACTGAAGACCTGCTCTGAATCTTCGGTGCCCGGTCACCCAGCAGCACAAGACACAGAGAAAGAAAACTGCCAGAAATGCCAGGGGAAGCTCACCGCCTGGCGCCCAGGGCAGCGTCGGCCGCGGCTCACCAGGCCCGCCCGGGAGAAACGGCGGGCAGCACGGCGAGGAGCCGCTGGTTCGAGCCCGGCCCCTTTATAACTGTTCCCATCCCCAGGGCGCCCCGTGCTCCGTCACAGCGCACTCGGGGTAGCCCGAGGCCTGAGGGATGGCACAGGACCTGGCCCAGAGAACGCAGCACACGCCTCAGCGCGGAGACTGTCTCGTCGACTGGGGTGGGCTTTCCCTTCTCTGATGATTGCCTCTTCATTTTCAGATCGTGGCCAAGAGATACCGAGATTTCGAGTTCCCCTCCGAAATGAGCGGCCTCTGGAGGTACTTGAACAATGCCTACGCCAGAGACGAGTTCACCCACACATGTCCGGCCGACCAGGAGATTGAGCGCGCCTACTCGGACGTGGCGAAGAGGATGAAGTGACGCTGAGGGTCTCTGTCTGACTCCTCCGTGGTACGAGCCAGACTGTGAAAAGGATGTTCTTTGTGTTTCCCCACAATACCCACCCTCTGCCAGAGATGCTCACGTTTCAACAGTGCCTCATCGTGGGCGGGCCCACGCAATGCCCGCTGCTCGAGATCTTGCACACTGTCCACTCCTCATGCCTCTGCCCAGGACCAGCGGCGACAGTTGCGCACGCCGATTGTCCAGCTTATTTTCATTGTCGTCTTTCACATTCACTAATGCTGTAATCCGTGAAATTTAGGGCACGTGTTTTGCAGTTTAAGTTTTAAAGCAAATTAGGCTTGGGTTCAAGTCCTCCTCTAATTGAAAAACAATTGTCTGTTCCTGGGAGTCCTCAGAATCACGTTTAGCTTATCTTCCTCCTCTACAATAGGATTTTAATTTTTTTTTTTTCCAGAATGAAAATACGGTTCTGTAATCACAAAATACCACGTGCCTATTTTAACAGCTGAACGCCATGTCAGAGAGTAGAAAGACAGGAGAAAACAGTCTCGCCTGGAAGGTCACTGCACTTAGACAACCACGGATAACTGACGTGAACAGCCGCCACGCCCACAGCGTCTCCCTCCTACTCTCTCGCACAGCTTCCTTCCTATGTGGCCTTGCACTGCTTTATCTGAAAGGGCCGGGGAGGGGACGGACCTCTTGGTCATGCCCCGGTGGCCATCCAAGGGGACCTGGCACAAGCAGGCAGACGGGGGGACTGCAGAGCCGGAGAGGATGCTTGTGATTGGTTTCATGGGTGGAGAATTGTGGAGACTGGCAGGGGCCAGAAGCTGTGGACGGTCCCTCCTCCTCCTGGTCACCGCCTCGGTGATGCTGTTGTCTCTGGTGCTGGGGGTGGGGGCCGCGGAGGAGAGCCTGTCCGCGTCCTCCCTTCCAGCCTCCCCTCTCACGGGGGACTCTCCCTGCCCTGGGCTGACAGGTGACCCAAGCCCGCCTTGGTCCCTCAGACGGCCGCTCTCTCTGAGACCCCAGGCTACACTTCTTCCGCAATGATGTCCTGGGGGGCTGCCCTGGGTCTTGCTTTTCTGCCCTTTGTTGTGGCGTTTCGGGGTCAGGATGGGAAAATCCAGAGAGATTCCATCCACGGGGACCACTTTTGGGCAGCTCTGGTACATGGTCCCGTTGGGGAGGAAGTGGAAACTGTCGACTCAGAGAGCGCTGTGGCGTGTCTGTGGCTTCCCCTCCACCGCCCCCGTAGCCAGCCTCTCCCAGCAGCGGCGTGGGGGCCCGGTGGCCGGGCTCCGCCACAAGGCCTGGAAGAAAGAGCAGGAGGCTGGTGGACCCTCCTCAGGCGCCGCCAGCCTTCCAGGATCCCTCTTCTCCAGCCGTGGTGTCTGGGTCATGCAAACACGCTCGTTAAAACAAAGGACACGTCAGCGCTACTGGAAAGTCAGTTGAAAGAATAAAATGTGTTCACACACCTGTTGTGGGATTTAGTGAAAAACGTAAGAGAAAGTAGGAGAACGTCCTAGCGTCTACCACGTCTCACTGTTGTACACGTTTCACATCTGTTTAGGGGTCTGATTTTTAAGACTAAGTTTGTGACGTTAGGGTTAAACTTGGTAAATGGATTGGCTACCATTTGTAACTAGTGATAACTTTGTTAGATGCTAAAAATGATCTACTTAAACTCCATGTGCCTTAAAAATTAAATAAATTATAAAAATGTTTGCCTGGAACCAAGGTACGTGTTTATTTTTTTTTACTTCGCATTCCCCATTTAGATTTCAAGAAATAAGCCAAACAGAAGTGGGCTTTCTTTAAAATGGTGAGAGCAGCTTTGAACCAGAGGTCAGTGGCCTTTGAACTACAACCCACAAAGCCATTTTGACAGAGCCGGGAAGACCCAGGTGGCCTCGCCTTGCCTGCTGGCTGCCATGGAGGCCTGCAGGCTCTTCTGGTTTAACATATTTTTTTTTAAAGTATAGCCGGCAGACAATGTAAGAGTAGCCTCAGGTGTACAACACAGTGATGCGGCGCGTTTATACGCCGTATGGTGTGATCACTGTGACCGGTCTAGCAGCCGCCTGCCACCATGCAAGCTTCTTACGATACCCGTGACCCTGTCACAGGCTTCCAGTTTACATGCGGCTGTAGGCACGCGGACGGTGCCGGGCAGGACGGCCCCCCAGCGCCCCGCCCCCACAGCCCCTTGACACACCCGTGCACAGGCGGGAAGGTGAGAACTGTTCCAGGCTGTGCTGCTGGCGGGAGACCTTTACTACAGTGTGGTCTTTGAAACAAAAGGCGCTGGTTCTTCAAAATACGGCAGATAAAAAACCCCCAACAAACCACCATGCAGAATGCAAATACGGACGCGCAGGGTAGGAATCCCTCCTTCGAGGCTGGGAGAAGGTTCTCTGGGGGGAGGGGGTGCCCTTCTCTCATCGGCCCAGGAGGCCTGACAGAAAACGTCCACTTCTCTCCTGAACACAGACGCCCCAGCGCGGGCTGGGCGGAGTCCGGCAGCGTCGGCAAGGGAGACCCGCTGGGCTCTGCCCAGCCCTGGGCGGGGGGTGATAGGACGCACCCCAGGAAAGGGCTGCTGGAGACCGAGGCCCCGCAGGCGACCTCTGGTCCCCGCAGGGGACCTCCGAGCTACGGGTCCGCCCCCAGGAGCTGCGCGTGTGCCAAGCACTTTGCCCCCAGACAGGCAGGCGGGCGTGCACACACACCTGCGCTCACACGCTCCCACAAATACACAACGCACAATGCCATCCTGAGCACACTCACACAGACGCACACACACATGCACATCCACACAGAGCTGAAACACAGCCCCACATACGCGCACGCGCGTGTGCGTGCGTGCCCGCCCGCCCGCCGCCGCTGCGCTGCCCCCGGGGCCCATCGTCAGGCTTCGGGAGAATTTTTAAAAATAGCTTAAAAAAAAAAAAAGAAAAAGCCCTTTCTTTTATTTGAGAAAGGTAAGCATCCTCCCAAAACATAATCTACAAGAGCCTGGATGCAGAAAAGGGGTAAACTGAGGGCATGTGTGCTCGCATTATAAATCGGCTTCTCTGTCCAGACGGTGGTTTAATTCTGAATTCCTCCCCGTGGCCGCTTTCTTTGCAGATGGTTGACTTCCGGTTTAATGTGTTACCGCATTTCAGGGCGCGACCCTTGTCTGTGGCCGGACACATGTGGGTGGCCGCGCCGCGAGGGACGGCGGGATCCACCGGGGCCTCGGCAGGCCTGGCGCGGGGTGAGCCGCGGGGCGGGGGGCAGCAGGGGCGGCTGCCTGCGGGCGCAGCCTGAGCTCCGACAGTGTCGTTGTTCCCGCCGCAAGGGGTCCCTGCGGGGACTCCGAGGGCCCTTGCCGCGCAGATGGCCGTCAGTCAGGGAGAGCCCAGGGCTGCCCTCTGGGTCAGACCACGGTCAAAAAGGAGACTGTGTCCCGAGCAGTGAGCTGCGCATGGGGGGGGGGGGCGGGGCGGGGCGGGGGCGGGGGCGGGGGCGGGGGCAGGGGTCCCGGCCTCGGGGGTGGGGGCACGGGGGCGGGGGTCCCGGCTTCGGGGGTCGGGGCACGGGCGCGGGCGCTCCTATTCAGCCCCTGCGCGTCTCTCCCCTTTCAGTGGCTGCTGCCCCCACTGTCCTACCCATGTCCTCCTCCCACAGGCCCTGGACGTGTCAGCTGTCCTAACACTTGTGTTGACGACACCCTGTGCCTGTCCCCGAGCCTGCGCCCTGGGCATGGCTTCCCTCATGCACTGCTGGGCGAGTGGACAAGGACCGCCGCCGTCAGTGACTGGCCTGGGGCTACCCCCGGCCGCCGGCCCAGCTGGGCTCCGTGCTCTGCAAAGCCGTGCGATGCCGTCACCCTGAGTGGGGCCCCGTCTGAGCCCCTCCACTGCTGCATGCGTCTCAAACACCCCCGAAGCCGTCACACCGCTGGGACCCCGTCGGGCGCTGCAGAACCACCCAGGAGCAGGGGAGCGGCCCTCGCTCAGAACGGTCTTGGTTGTGTAAAAGGGGGCGTCGAAAGAGCATCAGCTCTCCGGGCTTGCTTCTCCGGCGTCCAGTGCTCCTGGGTTAAATGGGTTATCGCTCTTCCCTAGAGGTGGCTCTGAGGCAGCGTCCAAGTTAAAAAAAATGGAATGGAAACCACACAGCAGCAGATACAGGGCCTTAAACCGGCCGCCGCCACCTCTGCCGGGTCTGATGATCCTGAGTGTCTGAGCCTTGCCCTTCCCAGCTGGAAAGTGGGGAGCGCGGCTCAGGGTCCGCAGCACGCGGCACCTGTGGAGGCTGGGAAGAGTGCATCTCCCGGGCTTTGTCTTCTTATGTGAGGCATGTCAAGACGGACAGGACCCCGAGCCCTCTCACACCCGTGGGAAGCCGTTGTGTCCTGCGGGTGTCTTCTCCCAGGGGGTAGTGGCCGCTAACGGCCCTTCTGGTCAGTCCCTGTGCGTGTCCAGAGCTGGGCCAGCTGTCCGCCAGGCACCCGTGAACAGGGCGGGCTCCACCGTGGACAGAGGGCTCTGTCCGGACCCTCCGGGGTGCCTCTGAGCCGCTGATTTCAGTGGCTTGACCTGGACGCCAGGACTTTGAGTCAGAGCCCCGGGCCCCCCCGGGCCTGGTCGCCCTTTTCACCGCCACGTGGTGCCTCCCTGTTCTGGGGGTTTCGGGCAGGTGCCAAGTGGGCGAGTTGGGTGGAGCCCGTGGGCCTGAGCAGACACCGTCTCAGGACTCCATCCAAACCCGGTCCAGCCTCCTCGGCTCAGCCGGGACAGCCCGCACTCAGGGTGGCTTTGCAGGGCCGGAGAAGCGCAGGTGGGACAGGGTGGTCTCGGCCCATCTCCAGGAAGTCCATGCCCAGTGCAGGCGGCGGCGGCGTCAGCCGCGCAGAAGGTCGTCTGCAGGGGCTCCCGCTCTGGCCGTGGCCATCCCCGCCTCACGGACTCAGGGAGTGAGAAGAGCGTCCGGTTGCACGGGCCTCCTCGCCACGCCCA